TAACTTCCTTAATCTAATCAAATTAGTTAAATAGGTCTTATATTAAAGACCGGAGGAGTATAATATCACTTGAAACCTTTTTATATGGTACGTTTGAAATAAAATTCATCCTCAACTTTTTTTTTGAAAAAAAATCGGTCTTTATTTGATAGAATCAACAGAGGTTGGATTTAGTAATAACATGACAAACGAATTTTTAAATTTTAAAGAGATATTCATATTTAATGCACAATATTGTTTCGAACATGGAACAAGATTGACTCGTTAATGCACTACCCTGCTTAGTAAAGAAAATTGTATCAAACTTCAAATAATAGAAACCTTGTAAAAATGTAATTACTATCATACTTAGTGACCTATAATAAAAGTATACTCTTTTTTTTCCCCAAAAAGTGCCTTTGATTAAATATCAAAGCCGTATATATAGTTTTTTTAGAAAAATAAAAAATGTGTTCTCACAGAACATAATTAGCATTTGATTTTGAAAAGACATGAAGGATTAGGACGTGATGGTACCACACATACGGGATCCAGAATTTTTTGGCAAAAAAACAAGTTGACTTCTCACATAATACCCAAGATCAATTTGGACTTCACACAATTTATTAATCTATAGTACCATTCATTCCCTCTCTTTCATGGAACTAGAAATTAAAGTCTCCTATTTTTATACATATTGGGTGACCTTATAGAAATCAGTTTATTATTGATAACAATTATGAAAATATTGCTGCAACAGAAACGAAGTAATTAGATGTAAAGGGAGAAGTTTGCGAGCTTCCTCCAGCATCTCCTCCGGATCCCCTTTTTCGGGAATGCTCCTTCTCTTGAAGAACCTTTTGGCCTCTTCACATGTGTCTTGGAACCTCTTTTGTCCCATTCCTGCTATGGCGGACATCATGTTGGGCTGCATAACCAGAAGGTATAGCATGTAATCTGAGACAAGCATGCTGATTTGTCTCTTGCGTCGACCCTCCCCTTCATTATTAGCGTCTTCGGCGGAACAGAGAGTAGTAGCAATGTGCCACAATAGAAGGCCATGATCAAAAGGAACTTCGTTGGGATCCACAAACGGCTTCAGACTTTCTAATTTGTCCTTCTGGACAACCTGTTCGCCTCTAGCAGAACATATGGTTTGGATGGCCTCTATATCTTGAGCAGCATCTGATTTCTCTTTCAGCTTTTCGAACAAGTATTCCCAAAGCTCTTTAACGAACGGGTTTTTGGACTCGTACCTCCATTGATCAAGGAGGTCTCTCATATTAGAACGTTTTCCTCGTTGATAGAATAAATCCTTGACATATACCCCGATTCTTAAGCACAGATTACGATGAGGAACCCTCGGAACTGACTCGTTCAGGCAGTAACTCAGCAGATTGTACCCCGTGATTGATCGAGACCATCTGCGCATTAAAAATTTGGTGGACAATCTGTGACACCCTTGGTAAGTGCCTTTCTGGATTTGTGGCCAAGTTAGATTCCCCCACCTGAGGAACCGCGACAAAAATATTCCATTGAGACACTTAAAGATTCTGATTCGGAATTTTTGGTAAGGAGAAGCTGCGTATGAATCTATTAGAGTCATCGGAGAGGGTAGCAGTGTAATCAGTGAAAAAAAGCATGAAAAGAGCCATGACATCCAGGAACAATGCGCCAAACAACAATGCATAAGTCATCCTAACATCCAACTTGTCGAAACCATGCCTGTCTGCCTTAATGAAGAGTACGAGGGTGGCCGTAATGGACATTAAGGAAACGAATTTTCCCCAGAACCAGAACCAATATTGGCGAATCACCGAGGCCTTGGTTTAGAAAACTTCATACATGAAATTGAGCTCGACTTCTATGAGCATGAGAGCCTCTCCTGCGGATTTGCTTTCAAAATATCTCCGGCTGTCTTGCCGGTCTTTGAAGCTGTATATCATGTCAACGATGAGACCTTGAAACTTAAGGAAGAAGGAGAAAGCTTTCTGCACCAACTCAAAGTTTGTAAATATCAATCGCCACGAGCTCCTTTCCATCGTTGGATGGCGCACCGCGAGCTGACACACTGTAGTAATGATAAAGGATAACATGTGTTAGTCTGCTATTTATTTAGTGGAGCTTTAATAAGTGATGTTAACTCAGTAATACAAGTCAGTTTTACCCTTCATTTTTCTCTCCCTGTTTCTTGATTTCCGCTCCCATCTTTTCCCGTCTCACCGGTCTCCGGAATCATGATTATTTCGGCTGAAGGTCGGCCGCCACCCTAGAAGAGTACTCCTCCATGAGCTTCGCATAATTGGCCCCCGCATCCGGCTCTGGAAGTAAGGACTGCTTGAAATTATCGATGGCCGTGATGTACAGAGCATGAGTTCTCTCAGCGTACTTGATTAATCCGGCAACAAACATCAATATCATCAATATCATCGGCAACCATAAGCAGTTGTGACTGACTGGAAAACGAGGCCGCGAAGGTGCCTGAGCCAGAGCTCATTGTCCTCTAAAGAAAACATAGTGATGGTGTCAGAGCCACCCAGGTGTAGGAGAAGGAAGGGACCCCAAAATGCCATGAGGTAATCGTTTTGTGTGAGGGTGGCTTTTTGCTCTTGATTGTTGGAGATGAGTCCAATGCAGTAGCCAGCTGCCCAGTCGGCGAGAAGATAAGCCAACCAGACAAAGAATATGAAGAAGCCTCCTCTGATGCGTTTTCTGTAGGGGGCAGAAACGATGAGGAAGATCTGAAGGAAGAGACTGAAGAGGATAATTATGCGGATGTTCCACTGGCCCCATATCAGCTTCTGAAATTGTGAGATGGAAGAAAGCATGTTGGAGCCTCACAAAATACCAAAGTTATAGCCTTGGGTATGCCTAGTATGTGTGTGGGGTGGGGGGGGGGTGGTTCGTTACAGATTTGGGAATCTTCATCCCCATGTTTCGGAAGCCATCATTTAAAAACAGTACATGCGGCCCCATGGATGCCTGCTTCAATGTTTCTTTTCTTTAATTTTTTCCTTTTCTTTAACTTATTCTTCTCCTTTTTTTAATGTTTAAATCAAATTTGGCATCTTGCCGGTAACAGCCACGCGATACACATATCGCTTATTCTTAAATGTAATGCGACGTCAAGATATACAACCTCCTTCTTCTATTGAAATCAATAAAAATATTAAACAACATTAACTAACCTTAAAATTTAATACTCCTCTCATCTTATTTATAAGATAGAGAGAAAATTTCTTTAATCTTATTTATCAGTCATCTCATTAAATTTTTAGTATGAATAAACTATTTTATCCTTTACTTATTATAGTGTATATGATTATTTTTTTACAAAAGTGTATACATTAAATATAGGCACACTAAAAGAGTTGTTGTATTTTAAAGAAGAGTTAATATAGTTTAAAATTTTTTTAGTCCATATAAAATATATTGAAAGTGTCTATAAATAAAACCAAAGGAGTAACTCTCTAACTTCACTTCCTATTCGGTCACAAAAAAATAACTTCACTTCCTAATTTCACCCTATATTTAGGATTAGAAGAGTATTAGATTACACCTCATAAAAACAAAGTCTACACAGTATTCCCTCCAATCCTTTTTATAAAATCCTAAAACTTGAATTGATTTGATCTATTTTATAAAATCCTGTTTAAGGTTGTCTAAACGTTAAATACATTTTTATTATTTTTGTTCCTGATTAATTTTCTATTTTCTTTGCTTATCTTTTTCTCATGCTACATACTCTTTCTTCCTTTATCTCATTGCAAATATTTCTCTCTTTTACTTGCTTTTTTTTTTTTTAAATAAGAACATCCTCGAAATTTTTTTAAATTCTTATATATTTATTGTTTTTAGCTAATCTTAACTATTTTTTCAAAGCATATAATTTAGCTAAGAAAATTTGTAAAAAGAATCGGTGGGAATAATACATGATGGGTAAATTTGCATGAAAATTTTAATAATAGGACTTATAAATATCATTAAAAAATTTTTCTATCTATTTTAGAAATAGCAATAGAAGAGTACAATGCATACATCTCTATTTTTTTTTTTTTTTGAGCTCAGCATATTTACTGACGGTAGAAGTAATTAATCTCTCCATGTTGTAGATTTCCTGCAAAACTTTAGTTTGAGGGAAAGACTTACTGGTTAATTTTATATACTTTTACACTTTTTTCAATCACATCAAAAAGTGGCCAGATTTTAAAACAATAGTGATATTCATAAATAATTTATGAAAAACTAACATATCTCGATTGATAGGAAATGAGAAACTTGAGTATATATTTCTCTTTGATTTATATATATCCACAAAACTCAAGTTTTAATTTTGTCAAATTTTAGGAACATAATTATTTTTTAACATTTATAATTTTTATAATTGCTGACTAAATATTTGTGTTTGAGATGCAGCAAACATCAAGTTTATTATTATTATTATTATTTTCATAACTTAGTTTTCTTTTTGAATTCTTTTTTCTTTAGGTACTTTTATTTTTTTCATTAATTTCGTAGTCATCATATATAGTAGTACAGAGAGTAGCAGTGTTTCCTACAGATGAATTTGTTGTTATTTTATTCTTTTAACCCCTGGTTGTACAACATCAACTTTATAAATTCTTTGCTTTTATTCAAAAAAGGAGAGAGAATATCTCTCAGAGCCTATAAACTGTTTTGGTTATACTACCATCTGTCTCAATCTATTTAAACATACATGGCACAAAAGAAGAAGATTTGACGTAAGTATGCGACTGAACATTTTTTTATTAGCCTTCTGAATTGTGAAAATCGAAAGACTTCATCAGCAAAACCCATTACAACAAGATGAAAAGGCAAACAACAAAATCAACCAGAAACAGAGGAAAGTATCATCTATCTCTTGTATGATCTCGGTTGGGAAAATGATATCAAGTCCCCAAACAATTATATATATGCCACACATATTCTTTTATTCCATATATAATCTGGAAGTGGAAATTGTTTTGAAAGTCAATCTGTCACTACCTCGTCGTCCTTGTTTAAGGCCACTCAAACTCAACTTTTTCTTGCTCACCTCTTTTGCTGACCCACTCAACCTTCTTTAGGTATTGGAGCGAAGGAAACATTCGCTTGAGAGTTTCTTGGTTAATTGTCGGCATTTTTGTATACTTGAGGACGAAATATTTCACATTATTCCACTGCTCGCCCTTATTTGGTAAATTACGGAGCTTTCCTCCCTTAATGTATAGCGTCTCCAGATTCATCAGTTTGCTGGGCTTTAACCATTCTGGCATCGTCTCGTGAGGAATGCCTTCAAGATCCAGTTTTTGTAGCTCCGGCGGAAAAGACACAGACTGTAAAGCGGTTGCTCTGCCCCAAGATATTTTCAGACACTTGACCTCTGGCAAATCCTTCAAGTTGTCGAAATCATCTTTCTGGATGGTAGCCTCACTCCCTATATGTATGCTTAATCGCTTCAGAGTCTTCAGATGTGGAAGATGCTCTAATCTAATGAGAGTCTTCTGAGAATTGCCTATTATGAATCCCTTGAGCACTTGGAGCGGAGTAAGGTTGTGGAGCCCCTTTGGCAAGCTTTCCATCAAGTAACATTCTGATACATCCAAATGTGTGAGCTTTTTCAAGGACGCAACCGCATCGGGCAAGTTTTCTAGATTATGGCAAGCCTTGAGGTCCAGAATTTCGAGGCTGACCAGTTCTCTGATGGAGTCTGGAAGTGAAGTTATTCTTGAAATCCCACGGAGGCTGAGATACTTGAGCAGTTTCTGGGTCTTCAAACCTCCGGTTAGGAACGATTCATCTTGAACTTCGATGTGATGGGTGGGAGAAACCTGCCAACGACCAAGCTGAAGCACCACCAGTCTCTTCAGTTTAGCAAGCCATTGGTCTTGAAAATGAAGATCCCTCTCGTTCACATTAAAAATGGTCCTCAAAGTCTCTGGCAGCGTGGATTCTCCTTCAATTCCCAAATCAGGGTGACCAGAGATCAAACAAGTACGCCGGGAATGGGCAAGATCAAAACGTGGTATCCCATCTTTTATGTCCAAAAGCCTCTCTTTCTTCGCTAGTGCGATCAACATGCAACGGACCCAGGGGGAAATTTGACATTTACTCACTCTCGGGCACTTGCCATGGGGTATGAGTAATTCTAAATCTAAAAGCTCTTCAAATACTCTTTCGCCTTCTTCCTCGTGCGGGACCAACCCTTCCCCAATCCACCAATAAATAAGAAACCTTTTCCTCAGAACGGCATTTCGAGGGAAAATTGCCAGAAACAAGCAAATTCTCGGGTCACGCTTAAGTTCATCAAGTCCGAAGAAAAATTCGTAGCTCACCCGAAGACGTTTCACGAGCGGATCCTCTTCCGCGTCGTCTATAATATCGAGTTCAGTTTCAGATAAAGCTGGGAAATCTTCCTGATTGAAATCACTAGCACGTCGGCCCAGAATTTTGTTTATTTGATCGAGCTCCTCACGGATAGAATCGAAACGAGAGGGTGCGGTAGTTTTGCTGAGGTGATCCTCTTCCGCGTGGTTTACAATATTCAGCTCCGTCTCAGATAAAGCTTGGAAATCGTGCTGATTGGCCTCACTGGCAGGTTGGCCCAGAAATTCCTGATTGGCCTCACTGGCACGTTGGCCCAGAAATTCGTTTATGTGAATGAGCTCCTCACGGATAGAACGGAATCGGGGGCTCAGTTCCTGTTGCGACTTCGTGTCTAGTTGGAATTGATTCTTCGAATACAGGTCGATCGTCTTCTTGACATCTTTGTCTACATCTTCAAAGGTCTTTTTGAGTTGAGGCAGCAGTTCGAGCAGATCTCTCGTTGGATCTGTTTTTGTTGGGCTCGACATGTTCAGAGCGCAAGAGATGGAAACGTTATCTGTGGGGATGAGGGCATGAGCGCCTGAGCATGAAGCTAACTTGCCTCCGATCCATTCCCCTCGTTGGAACGCTCGCTTGATATTAATTTTTATTAAACATTTCATTGCCTGGACGCTTCCCTACACTACCCGGCAATTTCTCGGTTCATATTATTTTATTAATGACATTTTAATCTTCTAATGCTACATGAAATATGAGTATTAAATTTAGACGTTTTCATCAAAGGAAATTTAAATTATTATTTTAAATAATTTTTCTTTGTACAAGATAAATACAAGATGATTTAAAAGAGTTTAATTTGCGTCATTTTTAGAAGTATAATTTCCAAACGCTCCTACTGGAATAGAACAGATTTAAAAAAAAAAAAAAGATGAGAAGTGACCAGCACGATTTGAATTTATGTAACTTGTGCGAGAGGAAACCTTCTGTAATATTCTAATGCCACTTGAAATTAAAGCATATGGAAAACTTTTTTTTCCCCTCTTTTTGTTTCTTTTTCTAATTTAGTTTGATTGATAAGAATATCCAATATATTTGTATTATTTTTAATACTTGTTTAAAAAAGGGAAAACCATATTGGAGGTACCTATACTTTCTCTCAATTTTTAATTTGGTACCTATGTGTTTTTTTCCCTTTAATTAAACATTTAATTTTATCTTTTTAGCAACATTAGCTCTTATAACTTTGTTCTATTGATATTTTTAGTTTCTACATAAGGATTAATGATGTTAATAGAGGAAAAATAAAGATTTAATTAAGAACAAAAAACACATAGGTACCAAATTGAAAATTGAAAAAAAGTATAGGTACCTCCAATATGGTTTTCCCTTTAAAAAACGATAAAAAACAGCATTAGTTCTTTTTTTTTTGGGGGGTCAAATTAGACATATTTTCATGTATATGTCAACCGAAGTTTCATATTTACAAATTTTTAAATAATACAATATCTAGACAAAATTGAGTCAATTTGTTTTAGGTGCACATTTGCATTACCGATAATAAAAATAGAAGTGTCCATATTTTATTGGCAAATTTATGAGTGCAGATACGCAGTTTAACTAATATAACCATATCAAAATAACAAGATTAGAGAAATTAACCTGATCTTGAACTAGGTTTTATCTCCTAACAAAAACTATCTGATATGAAATGGGATGGATGGGGCCAACTTTAATTTGGGTAAGAGAATATTATCAACATAATTCTTTCTTTTCCCTGTTGGTTTATTTCATAGCTCCACATAAGAGCTTCATCTTCCTCCCACAGGTGCTGGAAACTGCCCAGGTCTGTTCTTGTGATTCCTGTCATCATCATGGAATCATCCTATGTCGCCAGATTTCTGATAAAACAATACTCCCAATCCATCGACAAAGAGACTTCATTCCTATCAGATCCTACCTTGGACAGGTTTAAAGCCATAGGTAAAAGCTTGAAGACAACGTTAATGGGGCCTGAAAGCAATTCACGGCTTTCCGATCTTAACGACACCCTCACAGAGTGGCAGATCCTCAAGGAGCAGGACAAGTCTATCAAGAGGATTTTGTCCTGCCAGCGTCAGATGGCTCGCATGAGAGAGCGCTCAGATATCGTTGCTAGACTCGACCGGATCCAAAAAGATCTGCCAAGTCCTTCAGACTCGACCAAATCAAGCCTGCACACGGATTTTCTGCTCTCTGATCAGTGTTCCTCCTCCGAACCCGATCGAATTACTACTCCTCCTGTTGAGGTCCAAGAGTCTTCCGACAAACTCGAAAAGCAAGTGGTTGGTTGGCTCTCGACGCCGGGTGGTGATGACTTCAAAGCCGTCGGGATTTGTGGGATGGGCGGTTCGGGCAAGACAGCGCTCGTTAATAGCGTTTTGGGACAAAAAGCTGTCGTCAACAAATTCCAGTACCGCATCTGGGCTGGCTTATCGGATCTTATGACGTGCGAAGAAAAAAAGGAGATCATAGATGTCAGGATTATGAAACACTTGTTGTATTGTTTAGGCTCAGATACTGATGGCATGGCGGGCAATTTCGACGGGGATAAGGATAGGCTCATGGAAGAACTAGAACGTCGATTGCTGACGATCTCAAGGAACTACATTTTGGTGTTGGATGACCTGTGGGACTGTACCGAATGGTTCGCTGATAATTTGTTAGGCAAATTGAAGAAACATGAAGGTGGTGCTGTCATTGTAACCAGCCGGAAAAAATCCGTGGCCCAAAAATTCGGTGCAAACAATAGATTAATACATCTAAACCCTTTCGATTACAGGGAAAGCGCATTTCTTCCATATATTAGACTACAACCCCCAAGCCGTCCACCAGTAATCCCATCTACAACTCCCAAGCCGTCCACCAGTAATCTCATCGTCGATCAATCTGATGGATTATTGATGGCCATTTAGATTTTATACATCTTCTTCCCTTCTCTTACTGGTCTGAAATGACTTTTTTCTTAAGTTCGAAAGAGATAGCAGTTCGTGGTATGCTTGTGTCTTCGACTCTTGTAACTCAATTATGTGTGATTTAATGCATTTTTCTTTAACTGTCATTTTTTCCATAGTCATATATGAATAATTTTGTTATCCTTTTTCGATTACGCTCATTCAAAACCTTTGTTATTGTAACCGAAGCTGCTAAAGAGGAGATAGAATGCTCAGCATTGACCTAATAAGTACTTACCATATATGTATTGCGTTTAATAATTCCGGGGGTGATTCGTGATTGATAAAATTAAACTCAATTGGTTTAATCAAGAAACTTTGCAGTTTCATTATATTATTCTTCGAAGTTATGAAGAATGCAACTTGATTTGTTGATAAACATTAGCTAGGCACGATATTATGATGGATTTTGCCTGAATTGATTTAAAACCTCACGTAGTAAGCATATAGGATGGAGATTTTCGGATGTGGCTGCTCTTCCTGCGTTGGAAATTAAAACAAAATAATATGTGTTTTGAATGTTAAAGAGGGCTTTTGATAAGTACACGAAAAGCATCGGGATGGATCAGGAGAGTGATAATCACTCTTATTAATTTTAAAAATATAAATTCTATATTTAAAAAAACAAGTGATGAAATAATATAGTTTTAAATTTTAATTTGACGAGTGAATAGTTTTTTCCCCTCATCTTCAGTGACCCAATTGAATCTGTGAATCAATCGTCTTCTTCCTTAAACCTTTATTATCATGTTATGCACAAAACATATATGAAGGAAAATATTTTTTTCTTAAAAAAAGGAAAAGACAAAGCCACGCTCATGCATTGTACGGCATTTTAGGAGGAATAATGGAATGGTCACGCAAGGAAATGATGCCGAATAAAGGAACATGATGTGGCTCAAGAGTAAATATATATAATATGATGTTAAAGAATAAAGTGAAAAACAATGACGTTAGGATTTCCTCTGCTAAAGAAACTCCACATCAAAAATACAGCAAAAATTCAGCACATTGTTTCTTCTTCGGAGAGGAATCAAACTCCACATTTTTCTATTATCTGACTTGCTGGGCTGGCTGCAGGCTGCTCTTCCTGGCTTGAAGCATTTGAAGCTGGTTAGTATTTCAGCAATACAGCGTTCAGTTTTGGGGACTCCGTCTGACTGGGTGGTCCCCTTGCAAAATTTGAAAACAATGGAAATCATGGACTGTAATGATCTCGATTATTTATTTGTCGTTGATGGTCCTGATGACATTGATATAGAATCATTTCGTGCATTGCTACCTGAGTTACATCAACTTTCTTTGTGAAATCTTGATAGCTTCGTGAGCATAACAGACCTCAACAATCATGGGGGAATATTGAAGTTTAAAATGTTAAACCATCTGACGGTCAGCGTGTGTAACCAACTGAAATATCTTCTTCCTCTGTGTGTCCTCAAACATATGAATAGGACTAAAAAATTTTGACGTGTGAGTCGTGAGTCTTCTGCCAAAAAAAGAATCCAAGAAAGAGGCTTGCACGGCCTTCAATAAAGTTGGTATTGATTCGATTAAATGAAAATAGACATTACACCAAACTTCACGGGGCATCCAAACCGCCTCAACTTATTGTCTTTTATTTTCTTTTAATATTATACAATAAATAAACATATGCACTTATACAAATATACTCGCTCCTATTCTTATATATAAACTTTATTTTTTTTAAAAAAATCTTATCTAAAATATAAATTTGATTTTTTGAGTTTAAATATTTTTTATTATTTTTATTTTGTTCCTAGTTAATTGTATTTAGTACTCACTCCCTTTTATCAATGTTATTCTTATATTTTTTTCATCATTTTTTTATTTATTACCTTTCTTATTTACTTGCTTAATAAATAATGGCATATTTTTAAAAAATACTTATAATCTATTTATTATTTATTATTAATTTTAAAAATGAGTTTATAATTTAATTATTTAAAGCTTATACATATAACTGCGCTGAATATTAACGCGGGATCAAATCCGGGACTTCATCTTATCATCTAAATATGTGGGGGTGGTGTACTGGTGTTGCTGCAGGACATCACGACAAACGCAATACTCTGACAAACAACATCACATCTTTCCGTCGTTAAATTTGCCATTAACTCTGAGTTAGTCATCCTTTTCCTGGTATTATCACAATTCACAAGCAGAACAAAATATTTTTGGAAAAATTTATTATAAACCAAAATTACTTCCTCCGACACGCCCATCATATAAATAATATTATTTTTGATCTTAAATATAAAATTTTATTTATAGTTTGTAAACAAAATCTTATAAATAAGTCAGAGAATAGTATCAAGTAGTAAAGGCGTGTGCGATATTCGCGATGATCAGATTTGTAACCTCCAAAATATGGTTAATTATGGTTTTTTTTTTTACCAGCAAATGGTTAACTATGTTAAGCATAGAAAATTACTATAATATCCTAAAAAAATAACTATTAACGAGTCGCCATAATAATTAAGTTTTTTTTGGTTGAGATTTTGTTATAATTTTCTAAA